CTTATCCCCCATTCTATTTCATCCCTTTCTCTCCACTACTTCCACACCTGTCTTTTAAACACACCTTCACTGGTAAGCTCCCTTTGCAGAGTAAACAATTTGGCTAGTAGTTATTATGCGATAAATTATATATAATTTGCACAGACTTAATGGGTTGATTGTCTTTTCTTTCCTTGTATATTTTGCCAACTTTTTCTGAACTAATAGACAGCAAACAGTGACTGATAGCTGAAAAGCATAGCTATAACATTCTTAAGCATCAGTAGTGCAATACTAACGCTGGTTCAACAGTGAAAAACCTTGAATGAAGTATGGTCACAATGTAAGGTTATGGGTTCTTTTCAGACCCCTGCAAGTTCATTCTAAAGAGAATGGTTATCACATGCAAAAACACAGTTGGATTATTTTCCTAAACTGTAGCTGTACTGGACCAAAATTTATGAAGGTGAAATTGTTGTATTCCTGAATTCCTTTCACTTTCACAGAATTGTAGCTGAAACTGTTTTAAGACTTAAATTTCCTGGTCTCGCTATCACCTTTACCTTGTTTGAAAGAGATTTGTTAGGTAACTGCCTAATAGTTTTGAAATGTTCAAATACACTCCAATTATATATTGAAGAAAGGTTTTGGAAAACATTAGGATGGATTTATTTTTGTATATGTTATTTGTAATGATATTGTAGATGGAAAAAATGTAAAGATCATGTTACAGATCAGCCAAATGGAAACACAAAGAAATTTCATTTGTGTTGAATAAATATAAGAATTCCTTGATTATTCATACATTAGTTGCCTTAATGAATTGAGAGAATTTGAAGTATGATTATATGTTTTAACAACCTGGTACATTTCCCCATCAGAGGAAGTTGTTTCTAGGAATCTATTATATCAGGATTGTTTATTATTACAAAAACCTTGATTGCATTACCCATAACTTTTGAAACTTAGCAAATGCAATGCATAATTATATAAGTTGTCCTCAAAATTTCACACTTTAATCCCCAAGTTTAATTTTGTTGAATCTTTTCTGTACCCCCTAGAAGCCAAATATATTATTCTTAAGATTCAGTGCCTAAAACTGAATGCAGTAAACAAGATAGTATCTGACCAAGGATCAGTGCAACTGCTATGCTAATTGCTTGCTTTTGTATTCCGAACTGTTGAAACAAAAGTAAGCATTCATTTTTAAAATTTCATTGTGTACCTCTGCACTATTTCTTTTCGTATCCACATAATTTTCTGCTATCATTTCAAATGGCTGACGTAAAATTATGTGACCATGAGACATATGAGTAGAATTAGGCCATTCGGCCCATTGAATCTGCTCCACTGTTCAATCATGGCTGATATGTTTCTCAACCCCATTGTCCTGCTTTCTCTCCATAGCCACTGATCCCCTTACCAATCAAGAAACTATCTAGCTCTGCCTTAAATACACTTAATGACATAGCCTACACAGCCTTCTGCAGCAATGAGTTCCACAGATTAACCACCCTCTGGCTGAAGAAATTCCTCCCATCTCAGTTCTAAACAGTTGTCTGAGCCTGTGCAGTCTGGTCCTAGTCTCCCCTAATAGTGGAAGCATTTTATCCACATCCACTCTATCCAAGCCTCTCAGTATTCTGTAAATTTCAATCAGATCCCCCTTCCCCACTCATCATTCTAAACTTCACCAATTATAGACCCACTCTGTATACGACAAGACATTCATCCCTGGGATCATTCTTGTTAATGTCGTCTGGACCCCCTCCAATGCCAGCACATCTTTCCTCAGATAAGGGGCCCACAACTGGTCACTACATTCCAAATGCAGTTTGACCAGAGCCCTTTGCAGCCTTACCTGTACATTTCTGTTCTTTTATTCTAGCCCTCTTGAAGTGTTTGCTAACATTGTATTGCCTCTCTAACTGTCAAATGAACCAGCATGTTAACCTTAAGAGAATCCTGAATGAGGATTCCCAAGTCCCTTTTGTGCTTCAGATTTCTGAAGCCTTTCCCCATTTAGAAAATAGTCTATACCTGTACTTTTCCTGCCAAAGCACATAACATAATTTTAGTGTGATGGTTGTGTAATTTTCTTTCATCATTGGCATTCTTCTAAACCAGCACAGGAGAGTGAGAGGCCAGCAGCTTCATAAACACCAGCAGAAAGCACTGAGTTAGCAGCTTCTCGAAGAGACAGCAGGCCTGCATGAGAAAGGCAGTGGTGGCAGAAGATTAAAAACTGGCAGCAGAGAGCTCCTTAAAGTTGCTTCTTCCTGTAAGAGCTGAAATGTGATATCACAGGAAAACAGGTACGTAACTGGTCACTATTTCTTCAATGCCTTTCATTTGGTCAATTGTGTTCAATTAGGAAGCTTTATTATAACTGAGCATGGAGGTCAGTTAGCTCAGTTAGTTGGATGGCTGGTTTGCTATGCAGAGTAATGCCAACAGTATGGGTTCAATTCCCATACTGGTTGAGGTTACCACAAAGGATTCTTGTTCTTAACCTCTCCCCTTGCCTGAGGCATGGTACCCTCAAGTTAAACCACCACTTATCTTTTCTCAATAATGAGTACAACTCTATGGTATGTCAACCTTTTATTACAGCTGAAGGGTTCAGTTAAAAACATCCTTTAAAATAGTTAAGATCCAAATTAATTAATTAAATAGAAAAGCAATGGTCAGCCTTAATGTGACAAAAGAGCACTGCTCTGAAAGCTTGTGATTTCAAATAAACCTGTTGGGCTGAAACCTTGTGTCATGTGACTTCTGACTTTGTCCACCCCAGTCCAACCCCGGCACCTCCACATCATAACTTAGAATCAAAATGAGTAAAATGATACAAAGTCAAAGCTTAAAGCTCTTTATCTAAATGCTTGCAGAATTTGTAATTAGACAGATGAGTTGTTGGCAGAAATAGAATTAAATGAATATGACTTGATAGTTGTGACAGGAATGTGGCTTCAGGGTGACTAAAACTTTATATTCAAGGATATTCAATGTGCCCAAAGTGAAAGGTGCTGGGATATCTCTATTATATAAAACAAGGTAAGATTGTGGTGGTCAGGAGTGCTAGATGTGGAATAAATCATCATATGGAATCAGTTTAGGTCAAAATAAGGAGTGGCAATGGAAAGAAGTCATGAGTGGAGCCATTGGTAGGTCCTCAAAGAGTTGTCACACTGTAGGATAAAGTATATTGGGGAATAATGGCAGCACATAAGAAGGACACTATTGTTCTAATGGGTGATTTTAGTCTGCATATTGACTGGACAATCAAATACACAAGGATTACATAGAAGATGAATTTCTACAATGCATCGGGGACTGTTTCTTAGTACAGTATGCTGCAGAACTATAAGAGCAGGCTATTTTATATCTGATTATCCATTTTGAAGCAAAAATGATTGAAACATAGGAACAGAAGTAGGCCATTCAGCTCATTGAGTCCATTCCACTGTTCAGTTATACATGGCTGATCATTACTTCAAAGCCACTTTCTCACACTATTTCCATATTCCTTAATATTATTATTCTCTAGAAATCTCTCAATTTCTGCCTTGAGGAGAATTTTTTACTCAGATGGTTGCACATCACCCAATGAAGGAGCAGCACTCAGAAAACTCAAATAAACTGTTGGACTATAACCTGGTGTTGCGTGTTTTCTGACATTATCTGATTAAAAGGCAGAGCAGGTTGGAGGGTAAAATGACCCACCTCTGCTCCACCTGTCATGTTTGTATGTGTGTACACCCATAAATCATTTCAACCCAGCCTCTGTTCTGGCTGCTCCAATGATTGCTTGCACCACATAGAGTTGAGTTCAGGCATCCATTCTATACCTCACTGGTTAGCTGCCATCTCTTGGTGTTATGGGTCACCTTGTCCTGCAACAGTGAGAGGAAGGAGTTGAGTGTGGTGCGATTGGCGAATGAATCTGAGATGTTTGTGCACAGACTGAGAGTGTCTGGCTTGAAGTAGTATGGGTAAAGTTGGGCCTGTGAGGTCTGAGTTTTGCTTCATACAGGCTGTTAGCAGGTGAGTGGAGGAGCGGCAGCAAATGCAGGGTTATGTGAGCCTTATGATTCATTTATGCATTCAATCACCTTGACCATCCATATGATGGCTCTGTGTGTACAATATCTAGGCTCTCAGGCTTAGGCTGCTGGCATTGGCCACTTCAGCTACCTGCTGCTACATCCTTCGTAATATCTGAGTGCCTGAACAGCCACCGAGCAATCACCGATCCCAACACACCTTAACCCATCCTCCACACCCACCCGCAAAGGGAAAGGGAACTCGCCCTTTTTCTGTCTCTCCTGCATCAATGCCTCCAGTACTCGATGGGCGAACCTTGGGGCATTCTCCTATCCCCTTTCCAATCCCCTTGCTGCTCGGAGTGGCTCCTGTTAACCAGCTCCCTAAACCTACTGCAGTCAGAATGTAAGAGAATCAGGCTGGCTTCATGTGATGTTTACCTTGCGCTGAGTCTGGGGCTCGGTGCAGCCACTCAGTGGGCGGATAGAGCGGGACTCCTGTTTGTATCAGTTCAATGAACATAAAGTTAACACGCTGCCTGCGTCAGAACGAGGGGTATTCATGCATCACGGTCCTTTTTTCTAATCTAATCCAATCGTGCTGCAACTTTTTTTTTGGAAAAATAGAAATGTGACGTTAGTGAGGTGTTGTTGCTTTGAGAGTTGTGTCCGTGAGCACTGTGATACGAATGAACGAAAGGGTACGGACTGTTTATGCTGAGAACAATCTTTTATCAAGCTGCAAGTTTGATGTGAATATCACACACTTGGACATCAATAATGCTAATTAATGTGTTTATTTTAAGAAAGAACAATAGACTACAGTTTCAATGTGAGCAATGTGTTTCCTAATACAATAACAGGCAAGCGAACAGACACGTCATGAGTCAGGCATGCTGTTTCCTGGAGACCAAACCTGGAAATGCGTTTTCCACAAACGTGCTGCAGGTTAAAAAAAAAACTAAGGACTCCAGCAAGCAGCCGGATCGCAGCTTGAATCGTGGGAGTGGATCCAAGCGATTTGTTGTTGAGTGTGCAGCACACGGTGAGCCTTAAGAGGCAACTGATTGACTGTGTGATGTGAAGCCGGAATTGGACGGAGTTCTCTTGGACAGCTGCCCATCCAGCTGTGGAATGGCATCTTCGCTGCAGTTTCACGTGTTTACCTCGCCAGCCACAGGAATGAATGGAGCACAGCCGCAGCGATAGGAGCTGGCTATGGTGCTGAAAACCAGTTCTGTTTTGCAGCAGGCTTGCCTCAGCTGTTGCTGCCGCTCTTCCTGGACATCGGGCGCCGTTTGGAAGTATTCTCCCTGCTCTTTCCGATCGGCTCGCTGGTCGTCAGATAAAACAGAGGGGATTACACCGCGGGAGACAACAAAAAAAACCTACATCGTGCATTTCTGAATGATGAGGGCAAATGGTAAACTCCAATTGTCGCCTTCTCAATGAGAAATCGAGCCGCAACAGTGAAGGCTCGATCATTACGGCTCATCAAAGAATGAAGATTTGAGAAACAGCTGATTTTAACACTTCTGATCTTACTGTCTCGGTGAGCCCATTTTTAAAAAAGTTGAATGTATGATACGTAGAACAGTTTCGCTTTATTTTGGATAATATGTTGCTGTGAGAAGATAGTGGATTTTCTATTTTTTAACACACTTTAATATGTTGGTGTAGTCAGTAAACTAATGCTTCAGGATGGTTTTAGTCAATGAAGAGGGAGGGAATTAAAGATAGTGTTCTACTATAACTGAGCGACCTGGGATGTGTCTTGGTGCAATGATGTAGTGTTTTCTACTAACTGGCTGATGATCGAAGTGCTTTTTTTACCCTGATATTTGGCGTGTGTCACGATCCGCATATCTGAACATGATGCTTCTTTTTTTGTTGTTGTTGTTAATATGTTAACAGAAAGCGATCTTTACGGGAAATCAGTCGCTTTCCAGCAAAGGAAGATCCAGCGCAAGCCGGTTCTAGGAATCAGATCTGCACTCAGTGACGAATGCACAACATCATAGATCACCAACCAGACATGGCTACTGCGCTGTTAGCTGGAGAAAAGCTCAAGGAGCTGATCCTTCCGGGCCAACAAGATGAGAAAGGTTCGCCCTTTGCAGCCTTCATGGTTCAACTAAAGCTAGAACTCCCCTTCGACAGAGTAGTGTCCATCGGGACTGTCATTATCCCCATCCTCTTAGTCACATTGGTATTTACTAAAAATTTTGCAGGTAAGAAGATCGAGAAGTATACAACCCAACACCATTGGCAATCATGTTAAAACTGTTGTTCCAGGGCAGCATTCTCAGCCATTTCTAGTGTATATTTCCCTTATTTTGCCTGACGGAAGATCCAGTGAGCCAACCGCAGTCACATTCACGCTTCACTCTCATCTTGTGCCCTTCTGTGGCGCTTAGCTCCATCTCCCTGTTAATTAGAACTTTCATTGGGACTCTTTATTGTTGACATCTGACCTTCAAAATGAACAGACTGAGGCAGTGGTGCCACTTTAAGGAGTAGCATTATACGTAAACTGCTGCATTCTGCATGATAAGCCCGCCCTCCCAAACTGTAACTGCTTCACAGGATATAGGATATGATTCAAGTGTGTTTATGTCAAGCTACTGAAAGGCACAGCCCATCAAAGCACCTCGTAAACAGTGCCTTAGCTCTCCTTTGTGTGATTTTAAACCTACATGGTGAGACCTCTGCTTCATGAGAGGCATTTGTCAAATTTATTTACATCTGCGAAAGTCTGGGTGAAAGACCCTGATTTATCTTCCTTCTGAAAAGATTTGTGCAAGTGACGCATTTCCATGCAATTGGCATCATTTCTTTTTCTGTTTATAATGAAAATCGACCATTTAAAGCAACACAAACAAATTTCCATTTTGGTGAGTGGAGAATAAACAATCATGTATGTCTCCCTTAAAGGACGGTTGCGTTAAAAACTTGTAAGACATTTTTGTTGAGATTTGTAAACCAAGGCTTTTTAATTAAAATCTATAGATCACACATGAACTACAAATAGTCTGCACCATTCAGTTGTTACTGAAAGTTAACCAGTCTGAAGTACCCTTTGAAACCTTTTCTGCATATAAGCATATTATGTCATTAATTAATTAAAACTTATCCCTCAGTACAAATATTTACATTTCTCTGCTCAGCCCATTCTTTCCAAAAGACAGGAAAATCCAAAAATAATGCATTTTTTTTTGTTTCACTTATTCCATTCTTGCTTTTTGGTCCTTGACATTATGAAGTCAATTGTTGAATCTTCAAAAAGGTAAAGCAGTCTACCATTTAACTATTAGTAGTCAAGCAATAAACTTTTAAAAGTGAAGCGAATGATTACACACTTCTTTTAAATACTTGTGTTATGTGTATTTTTTTAGCCCGTAGTTTACATGATAGTCCATTCTAATGTGTGTATTTGTGCAGGCATTTTAGATATTTCTGGGACATGGGTAATCTGGGTGAGACTATTTGTGGCCCTGAGAGCATTAAGCATTAAACACATAATGTGGAACTGTAACAACTAGACAAGTGTGGCAGAGTTCGTCTCAGAAGTGCATTACTGAAACAAATAATTTTTTTGGAAAAATCCAGCAGCTTCTTTTGGTTAATCAACAGAAAGCAGAGTTGGGATAAATCGGTCATTTTCAGGTTGGTAAAACATGACTAGTGGGGTTTTGATACTTGGCCCCCAATTATTTACATTCTAAATTAATGACTTGGATTGGGGATATAAAGTACTATTTTACTGATGTTTTTGCAGATGAGACTAAAATTGGTGGGAAAGTAAGTTGCAATTAAGAAATAAGAAATTTTAAAATGAATATGGGTAGGTTGGGGAATGGGACAAAATTTGGCTAATGATGTTGAATGCGGTTAAGGGTGAGGTATCCGTTTTTGTCAGAGGAATAGAAAGGCAACTTATCTAAATGGAGAGAAACTTCAGAGTGCTTCAGTGCAGAGGGATCTGAATGTCCTCATGTATGAATTGCAGAAAACTAGTATGCGAATGTAGCAGGTAATAAGGAAGGCAAATGGAATTTTGGTATTTACTGCTGATGGAATAGAGTATAAAAGTAGGGAAGTGTTGCTGCAACTGTACAAGGAATTAGTCAGACCGCACCTGGAGTATTGCATACAGTTTTGATACCATTACTTTAGGAGGAATGTAGTTGCATTGGAGACAGTTCAGATGAGGTTCATTAGATTGGTTCTAGAGATGAAGGGCTTGGCTAATAAAGAGAGATTGAACAGGTTAGGCCTATACTCTCTGGAGTTCAGAAGAGTAAGAGGTGATCTAATTGAGGTATAGAAGATGCTAAAGGGGATTAACAAATGTTTCCCCATGTGGGTCAATCTGGAACGAGGAAGCATAGGGGTAGCAGATTTAAAACAGAGATGGGGAGAAATTACTCCTCTCTAAAGGTCATGAATCTGTGGAATTTATTATGCAAGAGTGCAATGGATGCTGGGATCTTGAGTAAATTTAAGAAGGAGATAGACATGTTTTTAATCATTAATGGGTTGAAGGGCTATGGACACTGGGAAGGAAACTGGAGTTGAAGCCAAGATGAGATCAGCCATGATCGTATCAAATGTTGGAGCAGGTGTGAGGGGCTGAATTGCCTACTCCTGCTCCTAGTTGTTATATTCTTATGTCCTTGTGTCCTTTCATGGTCATTTTTGGTGATAGCTCACATCTTAGCAAATGAATGGAATTCAGTTTAATAACTTGTTATGCTGATTGAACTCATAATGAAGCAGCAATGGATTACACACAAACAAAGAACAAAGAACAGTATAGCACAGGAACAGGACCTTCAACCCACAAAGACTGCGCTGACACAAGATGCATTTCTAAACTATAAAACATTTTGCCTCCCCACAGTCTGTATCCCTCCATTCCCTGTCTATTCATGTATCTGTCAAGAGGTCTCTTAAACATGCTATTGTATCTGCTTCTATCATCTCCTCTGGCAGTGCATTCTAGGCACTTACCACACTTTGTGCAAAAAAACTTGCCTCTCACATCTCCTTTAAATTTACCCCCTTTTACCTTAAACCTATGTCCCCTCGTAATTGCCATTTCTACCCCAGGAAAAAGACTCCGACTATCCATTCTATCCATGCCTCTCATAATTTTGTAAACTTCTATCAAGTCACCCCTCATCCTTTGACATTCAAGTGAAAACAAACTAAGTTTGTCCAATCTCTCCTCGTAGTTAATACCCTCCAAACCAGGCAACATCCTGGTAAACATTTTCTGGACCGTCTTCAAAACCTCCACATCCTTCTGGAACTGCCTTACCATTCCTGATGCATTGTTAGTTTTATTCATTTAATTTGTGCAGGGATGTTCTTGGGTTCCTATTTTTTCAGTCATGAGCAGTGATGTTTCTTGAGTTACTGGTGGATCTTTATCTGAGTCTTGAGGAAGAGAACCAGCTTGCCTGTATTTTTCCAGTTCTTTTTGTTAGAGGTATATTAGGGTCACCAACTGTGCACTGATCCCACAAGCAGTTAATTTGCATACTTGTGATAGAATCAATGATCTTGCAAAATTAAGCACTGTTACATGTTGTCAAGTTAGTGATTCTGATTAGTGTAGGATCAATCAGATTAGAGACAAAACTGTTAAGTTTGAAATTAAATGAAAATAACTCAAAGCAAATGATTATCTTATGTACATGTTTGAAACATAAGAGGATTGGTAAAATGGTGGAGAAGCAATGACTGCATTGGTGCCAAAATTTAAATTCTAACACAGTTAAGTGATGTACTGAATCAGTTATTTTGTATCATATATAAAAGTGGTGTTCATTACTTGACCTTATTATATCTTCAGAATTTTATTAGTTGGTTTGCATGCAAAAATAATATTTTGATCAAGAATTGATTCTATTCAGTAACACGAGGCAATAGCTGCATTTTTAAGCCTAATGCATCCTAATGTCAGTAGTGAATTGTTATTGCTATCCTAGAATGTGAACAACTATTGTTATATGCCTGAATTCTTTGAAAACTAAGTTATTGACCCCAAAGTAGTCTTTGGTGTGCAGATAACATAACTTCTTAGAGATTAAGAACTGTATCTAATCAAAGCATTGTAGAGATAAATGGAAGATTCATTGTCAAAGACCCTATGCTATGGGCCTTGATGGTTAATTACTCTGGAACAATACTGAATCTAACAATATAGTCAGAAGTCTCAAAAAGAAGTCACTAAGTAGCTGAATACGGTTGCTGATAGCAAAAGGGAAATAGTATGTCATCTGGAGTGATTAATGATTTGAGCAAACAAAGGCAGAAGAAAATATTCATTCAGCAACCAATCAGAAGAGATCCTGAACCAAAGGAAAAACTCGTACCGGCTGAGGGGAGGGTGAGTTACTCAGCTTGGTAACCTTGAAATGGAATGGAGAGTTTGAGGCGAGAACACATTAGCTGAGTTGGTAAGTGTCTTCCCAAAGTATATGTCTCCGTAGATGCAAATATTAAGTGGTCTGTTGTGATGTTTAAATAAATGGATTTATTAGCTTTTGTTTGATGCAATAGTATTCTACTGCTAACCATAGATTTTATGCCTAATTGTGAGATACTTGTGCTACCTTTATTGCCTCCACAGATCAGATGGATCCATTGGAACGATACAGCATCTGCCTTTCCACCAGGCATTAGAATGCAAAAAAAAGAACACCTTCAGAAGCACCTGTACTACAAGCACCAATACAGAAACTGTGATACCAGCTGCAGTACTTTTACATGAGCATGTAATTGGCACAGAGGATCTAACAATATCTATGGAGCAAGATCACATTAATTTCAGGCCAGGAGTACTGAATTGTAGATTTGCAATTAAACATATACAGAATTATAGATGAAGGCTGTATCACTGAGATTTGTGGTTATGTTGGATTCCGTACAGCTGAAATCTAATTGATTCTTGTTCATTAACATAATGGCTGGTATTAAATCCTTAGTGACACCTGGATTGACTATGTTAAATGTATTCAAACTGCTGAAACTGATTTTAGAGCAGGTGTTGTGGAAGAGGTATTGCAGTCCATTATGGAGCAAAGCTTGGGACATCAATCATAAAGTGATGTCACATATTGGTAGATTATTTTGAAGCCTCGGTGAAACATGTTATTTTTGCAAGTTCTGGTACAAATCTTTGAGTTCTCCATGTAGATGCTTGAAACCATTCCAGACCAGA